TTTTTTTCGATCCAGTTCCTCCACCACCGCGAACCCCAATTAGATTTAGGCATGCTACACTTTTTAGTTATTGGGAGAACCCAAGTACTCTCTTTCGGATTTAGGAAACAACTCTCAGAGATCTTTTTTTCCTTTTGGAAGATACAGGAGCAAAACAATCAGCCTATTGATATTAGAAGAACCAACGGATTCTTCCAATGTATCATTTTTGGATCCAATGGAATTCATAGGTATAGGAAGAAGCCCTCTCAAAAAGAAATTTTTTCTTTCGACCATATTTCGATTGTTAATATGATATATAAAGATCGCTACACCCTTGATCGTGAAATATCGATTGCTTGTTGACCACTGTGAATGCGTGAAATATCGATTACTTGTTGACCCCTGTGAATTGCGTGAAAATAGGATACTCCAAATTCGGGGGTCAAACAGCTTTAGAAAAAGTTCTTGGTGGAAAAAAATGTGAATGAAAGATCCCACTGAATAGAATTGGGTCCATCAATCTAAGAAATAGAGAGAATTCTTGATCTCTCTCAATATCTCTCTCAATTCGAAAATCCAGGATTTGAATTGATGTCCTTTCATTGATTCCTCCTAAATTGCATTGATTTATCCTAAAGATTTCATTTCAATTGGAATTTGGTTATTCACCATGTACGAGGATCCCCGGTAAGCGTCATGGCTGAATGGTTAAAGCGCCGAACTCATAATTGACGAATTCGTAGGTTCAATTCCCACTGGATGCACGCCAATCGGACCCTCCAATAAGTCTATTGGAATTGGTTCTGTATCAATGGAATCTCATCATCTATACATAACGAATTGGTGTGGTATATTCATATCATAATAAATGAACAGTAAGAACTAGCATTCTTATTGAGACTAGAACTCATAAGGAAGAAAATATATTATGGATGAAATCAAATATGCAATATTTACAGACAAAAGTATTCGATTATTAGGGAAAATTCATTATCAAACTGACTACAATCTGTTGGGAAAAAATTAATTTTGTAAAGAGGTATGGCCTGGTAAACATTCTTATCATACTAATTTAAAAATTTTTGGGTGTCCTGCTTATGCTCATGTAGATAATGGAAAGTTGAAGCCTAGGGCTAAAATGTGTGTCTTTCTTGGGTCTAAATCAGGTGTGAAGGGATATAAATTGTCGTTTCCTAAGATAGGAAAGGTGGTGATTAGCAGAGATGTAGTATTTGATAAACTTGCTATGGTTCTTGGTTCATCTCGTGGGAATTTTGATAAAATTGAGGAACATAATCATTCAACTCTTGTGGAGTTGAAAATTGGTCCAGGGAAACAATCAAAGGTTTCAGAACAATCTAGTACAAAATTGACAAATAGGAATATCATACCTTATTTGCCTACACCACTAGGAACACCATATTACTCAATTTCAAAGGATAGACTTTGCAGACAGATTGGACTTCCATAGAAGTATGGAAAAGCAGACTAGGTAACTTATGCTTTAAATGTGATAAAAGAAATTGATTCAACTTAGGAACGTGCTACATATATAGAGATAGTCGGTTGAAGTGATTTTAATAAATGGTTTAATTGCTATGCAAGAGGAGATGAAGTTATTGAATAAAAATTGTACTTGAGACTTGATGACATTACCTAAGGATAAAAGGGTTGTTTGCTGCAAGTGAGTGTTTAAAAGAAAAGAATGGACATCAAGGATTGAAGATACTAGGTATAAGGCCCAATTGGTAGGAAAGGGCTACAGTCAAATTTCAGGTGTTGACGTCACGGATGTGTTTTCACCGATTGTAAAGCATAGCTCGATTTACTTGGGTAATGGCAAGGAACAACTTGGAACTTGAACAGATGGATGTCGAGATAGCATTTTTGCACAAAGAACTTGAGGAGAACATTTATATACAACAACCAAAGGGTTTCATTGTTTTTGGGAAGGAAGACTATGCTTGCTTGTTGAAGAAGTCTTTTGTATGGGCTAAAGGAGTCACCAAGGCAATGGTATAAAATGTTCGATTCATTCGTAACTACTCATAGGTTCAGCAGAAGTAATCATGATAGTTGTGTGTACTTCAAAAAGTAAGATGGTGAATCGATCACATATTTACTGTTATATATTGATGATATGCTCATTTCGGCCAAAGATAAGCAAACGTAAAAAAGGTGAAATCTCAACTTAATAAGGAGTTTGAATTAAAGGATTTTGATGCGGCAAAGAAAATTCATAGTATGAAAATCTAGAGGGATTGAAAAGCTAGTAGATTGTATTTGAATCAGAAGGTGCACATTGAGAAGGTGCTTCAAAGGTTCAATATGTTGAATGCTAAGGCTGTCAGTACTCCCTTGGTTGCCCACTTCAAATGGTCATCTAGATTGTGTCCTCAATCAGATGAAGACATTGATTATATGTCTTAGGTTCCTTATTCCAATGCAATTGGTTTGCTAATGTATACTATGGTTTGTACGAGATCAGATTTAGCACATGCAATCAGTTCAGTTAGTAAGTATATGACAAATCCTGGCAATGAACATTGGAAAACAGTACAATGGATATTCAGATACTTGAATGGGAATTTGAAATTTTGGCCCACAAACACTATAATTACACAATTATGAATAGGAATTCACTAAATTTTATCAATAATTAGCTCATTAAAATGCTTAAAAAATGTATATAAACACACTATCAGAGTCCAATGTGAATTTGATTTTCGTTTCATCCCAAATTCTCGATTATTGATTTTATTCATTGGGACTTCACCTTATATTAAATCTTTTATATATTAATTCTCCTAATATGTTAGAGATTCTTTGATTATAAATATGTGGTGTCCAACACATATTAAAAATGATCAATTATCCAATTAGTTATTGCTCCAAAGAGATCTTTTGTAATTCCTCATTATTGATTATAATGAATTCTTCACCTCTACAAGTGGTTTTCCCGGAGTTGGGTTTTCACGTAAATCTTGTTTTCTTTGTGATCCATTATTTTCATATTGCCCATATTGTTTCATTCTTTAATTATTTTCCAATATTCTCAACAAATTGGTATCAAAGCTGTTCCACTTTCAACAAAGTGGTTTCAGGTTTGTTCGAAATTTTTTAACATAATTTTTCGATTTATCGCTCTGTAGTTCCATCTACACCTCCTTGCTTTGGTGGTAAGCAATGAAATGAATGCTTCAGAATGTTCACAAACACTGGAGATCACAGTTCCAAGAAGCTTTCTGTGATCCAACCATGCTTTTTGACCCTTTTTATTGGAGGAAAAAGTAGTGGTTGGATCTTAACTTTTAACTGTAGGAGTCATCTTTGTGTCATCAAAAAGATGTGGGGTTTATTGACATAAAGATTTGGCATGTGCTTTTCTCTGTTTCCCCACGTAGAGGGAGGTGAGTGGTCAGCAGTTTAGTTATTGAATCCTATCCTAACACAAGATATTGTTTTCTTTACTGTATGCAGAGGTGTAATGAATACTTTCTGAAGTGGAATGTTTGCTTCGTGACACTGCCAACGTCAAAATCTCTATGGATAAGAGCAGTTATGGTCTAAAGCATCTTTTCTTTAATTGATTATTGTTGAAAATGTAAAGACATGATTTTATAGTTGGCTATTTTCAATTTTTCATAGTGGGGGAGAGGCTTTTTCCATCATTGCCTTATCATCCATGCCACTTGTGCTCAAATGGAATCGAGTTTTTGAGTTTTTATTGGTTTTCAATTATTTAAAAATAGTCAATCGTGGACATAAATTTTAACATGGCATGAGATGATTTGTTACTGTAGCACAGTGATTTGATTTAGTCATGTCTGAAAAAAAAAAGGGCTTCAAATCAATGAGCTCACATCAAGCTAAGAGGTTGTGTATTGTAGGTTAAAGCTCACACAAAAACATTGTAACAAAGTATGGAATCAGGCTAATAAAAAAGTCTTAACGCAGCATATGATACATAACTCGTATAGTGGATTCCTGTATCTCAATATATAATTTTTTACATCCCTAGAAACGATCATGAAGGTTGTTTATCCTTAAAAGAAGTCACAAATGATGATATAGGATAATCAAATGGTAGCCCTAAATGAAACCATCGAAGATTCTACCATTCTTGATGTAAAACAAATGGAACAATAACAACTAACACAACCACCAGTTATGAGTGAAATGAATCAATGTTAATGCCTACACTTTAATGGTTGATCAAGAAAGAAATGTTACCATCCTCTGAGCAAAGCATTTCATATTTTCGTTTTCTTCTTTTTATTTTATTTTTGTATGGCTAAAATTTGAGGGCAAATTTATGTTTTCGTGACGTTATAATGAAATATTGGACGGAAACAATGACTAGAGACTACTACAGTTTAAAGTGAAAAGCTGAGGGTAAAAATGCTAGCTTTAGAATGGAAACAAAAGTAGTACAATAGGTAATAAATCGAGGACATTACGTGCACAATTTAGCCTTAAGTAAATAAATTTTATTTAATAATGCCTATACGATAATGTAATGTATAAGACATATTAAGCCCCTATTTGTGGGGATTAAAATAAAAATTTTAGCAGATTTTAATAAAAATTAATGAAATGTGTGATTGAAAAATTATGAATCCCATGAAACATATAGTTAAAATTAATTATTGACTTTGAACTTCATAAAAATCCAAATTTTAATTTCTACCGAACATGTGCTAAATTTAATTTTGAAAGATGAACTAAACTTACACACACAATCGCAAATAAAATAGAATTGCTTGCAATTGATTTCTTTTTTCTCACCATCACCTCTTTGGATGAACTTGTATATCATCAAAATTAAAATAGAAATGTTGTTAGTGAACGTATCTCATGATTTACTGTAGTAGATATTATGAATATAGGATTAGTAAATATTTTAATTCAAAATAAAACCAACATTTTCAGACAAACAGCTTAGACAGTTTTAAAGTTGACGATAACAATTTATCGAAAATCATACATTTTATAATTGATGCAAATGATTCATATAGTTAAGTATAAACGGAATTGAAATGCACTTGAGTCTTGATTAATGTGTATTGTTACATCTCAATCTCGATAGAAACTGTTACTTCGAATAATATTTTACTTTCAAAATTGCACAACGCATTTACATTAATAAACATTACAATATAACGTTCTAATTTATAGTTACAAAATTTTACAGATGTGTTGTGACTGTATGTTTATTTTCTATGGAGAGATCATCCATGCATCAATAGCGGTTGCTGATGGAGTTTGAGAGGTTGCGTGCTGCAGATATTTTAATGCTTTTTGATGATTTAGAAATCCCATGAACCAGAATTCGAACTTGTCCTCGGTGACTATCTGCACATATTTTTGCCTTGGTTTTTTTGCATTTTCACTTTCATTGGCTCTCTTTATTTTCCTTAGAGGGATCATGACCTGCAAGGTTTCGACGCCAATTAGATTTTCAGCTTCTAAGAGAAAATGGGTTATAATCGCGATTCAGAACATGTGAAATAGAGACAGATATGTACCTTATAATGTATTTTATGCAGTTTTCCAGTTGGGGAAGAGAGTTTAATTGATCTCTCACTGCAGAAGGCAATTTTATCAGTGGAAATAAACAGTAGGCCAGCTATCGGCCCAGCTGTGGTCGATAAATAGCATTGAGAAGCCGTTAAAAGCTTTTCGCCATTGCTAACATTGAAGTTCAGCTTGAAAACTTTTTCCAGGCCGCCTACCAGAAGGATTCTTGTTCCGAGCCTCAACTTCCCTTTCAAAGTTTCTGTTAATTTGGGTCCTAGTTTCACTGCAGAGATAATAATAAAGCAAAATATTAGGCATAAAATCAGAGTATGCTGGAGAATTTGTAAAGTTGATGGCATGTTTGGTAAGCTAGATTCGACCACATAAGATATGGTGACTAACTAATCTCGTCTTTAATTTTGTCCAGCTATGTCTAGTCGAGCATAGCGCACATGCTCCAGTGGTCTGATATTAACTTCTATAAAAATAAACTAGGTTAAGGCTTTACCATGCTCTCGGAATCCTTGAGCAAAATTGTACACCCATTCTCCAAATTTGCTCATCCCAGGGATTACTGAACTTGCTCTGCCTGCATTTCCAAGAAAATTCAGTAAGTTTGCGATTAATGGAACTGGGAATTCTTGGTGAGTTATAAAGAAAGAAAATATACATACGCTTTCTGATTTTGGTGTATTCATTGGAAGGAGAAGGCGTAACACTGTATTGGATACTCGGATCAGGTAAAAATCCTGTTGAAAATACTCCTGAATTGATTGGAATTCCAACAGCATATTTTGGGTGCAATTTTTTCATAAACGTCGATTTTCCGTGTTGTAGTTTCATCTCTACCTCCTTTCTTTGGTTGTAAGCAATGAAATGAATGCTTCAGAATGTTCAAAAACACCTAAGATCAGTCAGATACAAGAAGTTTTTCTGGGATCCAAAATGCTTCTTCACCCTTTATATAGACGAAAAGTAGTAGTTGGATCTTAACTTTTAGCTACACGAGTCATTTTTGTGTCATAAAAAAATGTGGGGTTTTGACAGAATGATCTGGTATCATGTTATGTCTCCCGGGTGGGGTGGGGTGGTTTGGTTAATTGTATGCAGATGTGTAATCCACGTTTTCCGAGGAGGGATGTTTGCTTTGTGACGCTGCCACCCTCAAATCTTTTGCACTTGGTCTAAAGGCGTATCTGGATATCCCTTCTTTTGGACTTTCTTTTTTCAAATCCTTTCTTTAATTGATGATTGTTACAGGTGTAAAGGAATTTTTTACATGAATAGTGGGGGAGAGGATATCCCCATCATTGCCACATCATTACATGCCATAAAATTGTCAATCTGAATATGTAATCTAATATTTAAGAGTCTATTAGTTGGAATGGTTTTGAATAATCTTTAAGGGCTGCATTCGGTATCTTAGATCCCACCAACCATAAATATTTTATCTTTTCTTGATGTTATGAAGAACTAATAATATTATCTGCATTTTGCGTCTTTAATGAAAAAAATGTATAAACTGTATGAAATACAGCTTTCATAAGGGGTATAGGAATTCTATTCAATTTTAATTCTTGTTTCATTAGATAACTAGTGGATTTGAATTACTTAGTATTAGTTTAAATGTCAAAGCACTTAACTTTGGAGAGAATCATCACATGTTTAGATTGTTGACAATGTTAGTTAGACCCAACCAAATTAGAGCGGTAAAAGAAATGAGTGATTGGAGAGCAACTTATAGAATAACATGTCGGGAAAGAAATGAAATTCATTTGCGGGGATGTGAATTTCACCAGTGGAAAAAAAAGTTATGACCACTAAGGAATTTTTCTTTCTCTACAACTTTTTTCGACCCTAGATGATGATTAAAAGTGACTACACATACACACACACCCCAATCAAATATCAGATAAGCTCAAATTTATTTTGGTAGCATTATTTGGAGTCATATTTGTAAATTGATTATACAATTTTACACTCGTGGACATTTGACCAATTGTCTAACATTATTAATTTAATTGACTGCCCAAAAATTGATTTTGTGATTAAGCCCGATTAGGAGGTAGAAGTCTTCATTGTTGAATTTGAATTGGATGAAATAGATAAATCATATTATATTAAAAGGAGCAAGGTAGAGTTTTGGAGAATAAATGAAAAGTGAAGCAATGTCAAAAATAATGCATCTAAAGATTTCTTTTGATGTCCATGATTCAAATTGCTAAAGTGGAGCTAATGATTTTAAACAAATGTCTGTTGGTGGGCAACCTAATTTTCTAACTCTTAACTCTTTTAACCTCCTTTTTTCATTTTTTTCAATTTTTTTTTTTTTTTTTTGTCATTACATATAATTTTTGCTAGTTAGTTCATTTTTGAAGTCCTAGGTTGATCATGGTTCTCAACAAGTTTGAGGCTTCATTTTGACTATGTTGATTACACTTACCAACTTTGATTTTACCCCTTATAATCTACTCCTTTTTTGAAATTTTGTAAGACACAACAAGTTATTTCATGAGATGCTTGTTGAAGGAAATTTTAGTGACCTATATCTTAAGTTTTGGATTTGTTATAAAAACGTGTTTTTTAAGTTTTTGAAATTCGGATTTAATTAAATTTTACATTTTTTTTCTTTATTTTGTAGATTAACCTTACTTTCTATTATGAGTTCCAAAAACTAATGAAAACAAATCATTAAGTTAGCTAGCTTCATTTTGTTGAATAAATAAAACTAAAATGGAGGACAAAATTTGGCCGTTGTTTTTTTATTCTGTATTGAGTGATTTTTTAGCGAGTTACGGTTGTTCTATTGAGTAAGTTTAGGAGATCTTTTAGATTATTGCCTAAACTTGGGTTTCTAATTCGGTTTGTACCCTATTCCTCTTTGGAAGGCATGATTTTGCCCATAGTGGACGGATTGATTCCTGAGCCTTCCAAATTATGCATTCTTGCTTAACAAGGTGAACATTTTGTGTATTCTTGTGTTATTTACTTTCTATATTTTTTATACTTCATCATCGACTCATTTTCTTAGGGCGAAAATCCCAACAACGAGATTATGGCCATGTTTGAATCTTATTAAATTACATTGCATTTTTCTCTCTTCTATTTTTTAATCACACAATCTTTTATAAAATAATATTATACGTAAATCGAAAACTTTTCTTTCTTTTTCAATCACTCGTTTTTCAAAAAAAACACTATTCCACCCGTTTTCATTTCTAAAAAATGGGGCCGAACGGGGCTATGCATTTATTAATTTCCCTGATTTGTTATTGGATTTGTTGGTGAACACACCATGTGAGGGTAAGAGAAATAGTTAGAAAATTCTATTATACATAAAATGTACTGCAGCCAAAAAATTAGAGACAATTCAATATAGAATCCATCGTTCCGAAACTGTCTTTCGATCTTTCGTGGTGTGTTTAACTAATTTACATATGCTTATAACTAGTCTATGCCGGGGCATACACAAACAGTTTATAGTTACAAAATTGTACGGTGTATATGCTCATCCATGCATCTATATCAGCTACCGATGGAGCTTGAGAGCTGCCTGCTGCAGATATTTGAATGCTCTTTGATGATTTAGGAATCCCATGAACCAGAACTCGAAATTGTCCTCGGTAACTATTTGCACAGACTTTGGCTTCGGTTTCTTTGCATTTTCACTTTCATCGGCTTTCTTTATTTTACCTAGGGGATTTTCACCTACAAGGTTTTGAAACAAGTTAAAAATAAAATAAAATAAATAAATTTCTAAGAAAAATTGGAAGATGAAATTGAAACTAGAGGCAGATATGGTACCTTGTAATGTATTTTAAGCAATTTTACGGGATGCCGAAGAGAGTTTAATCGACCTCTCGCTGCAGAAAGCAACTTTATCAGTGCCATCGGCCCAGCAGTCGTCGATAAATAGCATTGAGAAGCCTTTAAAAGCTTTTCACCATCGGAAACATTGAAGTTCTGGTTGAAAACTTTTTCCATACCGCCTACCTGAAGGATTCTTGCCCCTAGCCTCAATTTCCCTTTTAAAGTTTCTGATAATTTGGTTCCTAGTTTCACTGCAGGGATAAAAATGAAGTAGAATATTAGGCCTAAAACAAGAATTTTTAGTATATTTTGGTGAAGTATGAGAAGGGAAACTGATAGGATCTATGAGATTTTTGTTTCAGGAAAACATTGATATTACTTTTGGTGCACTGGAATAAACATCCTATATAGTCGAGTATATCAAACATTCTCCAACATTCCAATGACAACTATTACTATAAAATAAGCTAGGTCAATGCTTTACCATGCTCACGGATTCCCTGTGTAAAATTTTCCATCCATTCTCCTAGTTTATTCATCCTAGGAATTACTGAGTCTGCTTTACCTGCATTTCCAAGAAAACCTGGAATTTGGTATTATGATTAGTGAAACTGTTAATTCTTATTGAGTTTGGAGTGGCACAAAATATAAAATACTTACGATGTCTGATTTTGAAGTAATCATCGGAAGAAGGGGCAACACTATATTGTCTAGCAGGATCACATAAAAGCTCTGAAGATCTGTCCATGGTGTATGCTCCTGAGTTGATTGGAATTCCAGTAGCATATTTTGGGTTTAATTTCTTGGTATATTTCGATTTTCCGCTCTGTAGTTCCATCTATACCACCTTGCTTTGATTGTAAGCAATGATATGAATGCTTCAGAATGTTCACAAACACTAAAAACCTCAGTTACAAGAAGCTTGCTGTGATCCAACCACGCTTCTTGACCCTTTATATTGGGGACAAAAGTAGTGGTTTGATCTCAACGTTTAACTGTAGGAGTAATCTTTGTGTCATCAAAAAGACGTGGGGTTTAATTATATAAAGATTTGGCATGTGCTTTTCTCTGCGTCCCCAGGTAGAGGGGGATGTGTGGTCAGCAGTTTAGTTATTGAATCCTATCCTAACACAAAATATTTGTTTTCTTTATTGTATGCAGAAGTGTAATGAATACTTTCTGAGGTGGAATGTTTGCTTTGTGACACTGCTAACTTCAAAATCTTTATGGATAAGAGCAGTTGTGGTCTGAGGCATATCTTTTCTTTAATTGATTATTGTTGAATGTGTAAAGTAATTATTTTATAGTTGGCTATTTTCATAGTGGGGGGCACAGGCTCTCTGCATCATTGCCACATCATCCATGCCACTTTTTTGTTATCAAGTTTTGAGTTTTCATTATTTAGAATGTTTTTCAATAATTTATTGCATTTGGAATCTTAGATCCTAACGACCAAAAATTATTTAAAAATAATCAATCATGGACCCAAACTTCAACATGTACATACATTTGCCAAATGGATTTACAGAATGTTACATTGAAATTTGGCCAAAAAAACAAAATTAAAATATCTAATGAGGTGTTGTCATCTTAATTCCTGTATACTGTCTATACAATTCATCTGTACAAATAGTTTTATTTCATAAACTTTACACGGCATGAGAAAATGTGTAACTTTTTCGCAGTGATTTTATGAAGTCGTGTCCAGAAAAAAATGTTCAAATCAGTGAGCTCACACCAAGCTTGGAGATTGTGTATCATAGGTTAAAGCACACACTAAAACATTGTATCAAAGTATGGAATCAGGTTAATAAAAAAGTCGAACGCAACACAAGGTACTCAACTCATATAGATGGGTTCCTTTATTTCAATGAATAATATGTTACGTTGAAGAATACCCTTTTTCTCAATAAGAACAAAGTTGTACATCCCTTGAAATAGTCATGAAGGTTGTCCATCCCAAAAAACAATCACAAATGATGATATAGAAGAATCAAATGATAGCCCTAAATAAAACCATCCAGATTCTATCATGGAAAAAAAACCAACGAGATTCTATCATTCTTGGTAAAGCCGAAAATAACACCACAACCCTACTTCTCACCTAATGGTTGATCAAGAAAGAAATGTTACAATCCTCTGAGCAAAGCATTTGTTTTTTGTTCTCTTCT